CAAAGCCAGAAGATTGTTGAGATGTAGAAATCTTTTGAATAAATTCAGATCTAGGAGAGATATTCAAAAAATTTGGTTCACCGACGAAAAAATATTTACAATCAACCCCTTGAAAAACTCGCAAAATGATAGATTTTGTTTACCTCACCACCAACGAAAACGGGAAACGCCGTTGGAACGTCTTCTGAGTGAAAGAGATAAATTCACTAAGAACGTCATGGTTTCTGCAGGAATTTCTAGAGAACATAAAGCAAATTTGATTTTCATTAGGCAAGGGGTCAGGCTGAATTCACAGAGTTATTGTGACACTGTTTTAGCACAAATGCTTCCAGAAATAGAGGATTCAACTCCTGACTTTATTTTCATGCTGGTATGTTTGTATCTTCTCATCATTTTCCTCGAGTTTTTCTTATATCATTCATTATTTTTTGACTATTTCCATTAAAAATTTGATTTTAGGATGGCGCGAGATGTCACACCAGTGCACACACCATTAATTACTTGAGAGAGAATGTTGCCAATTTTTTAGAACCACAAGAATGGCCTCCAAATAGTCCAGATTTGAATCCTTGTGACTATTTTCTGTGGGGTGATTTGGAGGCTAGAGTTCACAAAAATGGAACAATATTTGAAAATGTTGAACAACTACAAGAGATAATTCTTCAGTGTTGGGAGGAAACCAGCCAAGTTAATATTAGGAAATCAATTGACAGTTGGCGACGACGTGTGGAATTAGTGATTGAAGCTGATGGGGACCACATTAGAACATAATTTTCTCGCTTACTCTTGTTTCTTGTTCAATATCGTTCTTCCTTTTGTTTGAGAATGATTGTATTGAGTTGAATTCCATGAAGGAATCGTAATTTATGCTTTTTATACCACTTGTCTCAAAATTATCATGATTTTGAAGACTTTGAAAATCATAAATGAGGTGGATCTTGGAAATAACGAATGAAAATGAGCATAAAAGTTCCAAAACATACATGTCTATATCCTGTCATATATCAGGTATTTTTCGACGGATTATCATGTTCGACATCTTGTTCTATTCAGAAATGTCCAAACTTCCAGATTCTTACACGAAACGATATACAGTGCGACTTAAAAAAGTTCCAGCAAGTTTTCAAATTGTATCAAGTTTAGGTGACTCCGCCATTTTGTTTTTTGAAAGTATATTAAAAATTTGCTATCAGCGGACTGCCTTGATTTATTCTCTCTCGAACAAGACCAAAATCAATCAAATCGGCCAATAAATGAAAAAGTTATCAGACATAAACAAAATTCCGGTTTTTTTTGGACAACCCTATATATCCATTTTTGTATGTTCATAATTTATCTGAGAATATTCCTTTTCAAGACTTCGATAGATAATATTGAACTTTCAGTATATTATACAGTGTGTCTCACTTCTCATGGAAACACCCCACTATTTTCCGTATATTTTGACGTAGAACCATGAAAATTTTTTTATCGCTTGGAGCGCACGAGAGGGAATCCCTATAATGTTCAAAGAAAGGGGTCATCCTACGTGATATAAACTGCACGTCAGCAGCGATGGAACTACCCATGTTGCTGGAAAATAATATTAGGGGGCAAAATTGACCGGAAATTCCGAATTCGTGTTCAGCATTCCCAAATTTTTATATAAAAAAATTAGCCCTGAAAAATGTCAATTCGTCTCTGCTGGCGTGCTGTGAATATCACGTAGGGATGACCTTTTTTGTGCATTGAGTTAGTTTTCAGTGCATATATCGATCCAGAAAATTTCATATTTCTACGTCGAAAAATTCGGAAGATTTAGATAATTTAGAGTTTTTCAGTACTGATGAGAGTTGGAATTACACCAGATATTAAAACTATGAAGGTATTTTTTGAAGTAATTCACAATGAAGTAATTCCCATACAATGAAGACAATTTACTACGGTATACACTTTATAATCATCGGCATACAATAAAACATTAAACTTTAGCTATACAGTGCGATATCATTTATAAGGATGGTGAATAGAAGAAGTCCAAGAGTTGATCCCTGTGGAACATCAGATGAAGCTGTGAATTCAATAGAATTGAATCCATGGTACCGAACGATTTCGTTGAATAATCATGAAGAAAAGAGCGAGCCGCCGCCTGCAAAAGCGATCGCGCGCGCGAAATTTGTATTTTTTTTTGCTGACTGACGGGCGTTGTCCCGTGTCATGTGTAATAAGTAGTCTTAAAATGTATGACCACCTGCTGATAAGCCACAATTTTTTTCTTGTTTGCTCTACTCTCATTAGAATGTGAGAAAAATATATGGTTCCATTTGAAATTTTCAAGAAAACCTTTAAAATCATATGATGTGAAATCTGATTTTTCAAATGGTGCCATAAAGCATTCACCACAAGATCCAAATCAACTTGATTGGTGATAAACCTGAAAAAACTGAAAAATCTCATCTTCATAATGAGACAAAGTTTATTGAATTGAATTCCTTAACACCTCATGGTATACCTTGCTTTGAACTAAACTGTAGTAATAAGTGGTTTTTCACTTCATTCTCCCCCCCCTCTCTTATTTGGTGAGCTAGTGCATTTATTTTCGTGGAAATCAACTGGAGATTATGAAAAAAGTTTTTTTCAGATGTCTTTCATAGGTATACTTACTAATCAAATTCTCATTAAAAACGTGGCTTTTCATCTGGCCTACAGTAACTGCATTTAACACAGTGGTTACATCAGACTGGCAGCCGCCATGTTTAGGCTGATGTCAAATGCTCTGCCTTTGTCTAATAAGTTGGTTATGTTTTTTGTTTTCGTTATTTTTCATAAAAAAAAAATATTTTGAAAAGCATTTTGTTGTTATTTCGAATACAAAAATGATATTTAACTTTATTCAAACATTGTAAGGAATATATATCAGGTTAGGTTATATGATAGACGACTAAGTTTCAGATAAATTCTTAGCCAATAAAGACTGGGAAGCTGCTACTCAAACACAGATAGATAGGTACACCGCTCGGGCACCACCGACTTTGACTGCTAATAACTCAAAGGAATCACAAAAGTGTTTCATCAGTAGGTAAGTTTGAGCTATTGAAAACAGTCTGATTAGATCTCTGGAAGAATCAAACATATGCAGTCTTCAGGAATGACTACTTCCAATACATACTTTTTAGTTGTCCAGGAGCTTTCCCAGGAGTGATGATTTGAACTTGAAGGAAAAAGAATAGATATCTTCTTTTTCTGCTTCTGAGGTAAAAATGTACCTACCTATACTTTGTCTACTTCCAAACTACAATGAAATAGAATTCTGCATACAGGATATTCTGGATGGAAAAAACACAGTGAAGACAACATACCTGAGGAAAATTAGTCTATACCAGACAAGGTGCCATGGCAATCTCAAACATAAATCCTCTCTCAAGTAAACCACAGAAAACAGACCTGATAAGTACTTCCAATAATAATTATAGGTAATTCAAGCAAGAACTGAACATTTTGATGCCATGAAAAGAATACACAGCTTGCCTGCTCTTGATATGAGCTCCTGATGGTATAAACATTATTGCTGAAGTAAGATTTTACTACTTCGAATTTCCATTTCAGTTTAACAAAATGTGTAGGTAGGTATTGTGTGTTCACAGGATTTCTTCAAGGAAAACTACAAAGTTGGACTAGATGTTGACCTGCCTGAATCAATCAACATTTTAGGTACCTTCTATAGGACACATATCAGATGCATTTATATTGTACTTTCCAGTTTAATATGATGATCATTTTGTTGAATCATACCTAATTTGTTATCATTAGAAGAACTAATCAAATATCAATAAATTGATAATTATAATGATAGTAAATATACTACATACTTAATTTTAGTAATAACCAGTATGTATTGATTAATTTCAATCACCTGAATATTTATCAGGCAGTGTATTTGTGAGATATGTGAGAAATAAAAAGAACTTTTTGTATTAGTGGGTAGTTTTTTTTACTATTTACATCACATTGTATTCCATAAACTTCACTTCAACCACACACACTGAAAATTCTGAAGTACCTATGTTTAGTATTTGGAGTAGCTAGAGCCACAGATTAACAAACCTATGGAAAATGTTTCATTGCTCATCAGCTGGAATCCATCCTGTATGGAAAGTCAAATAAGAGGCTTCAAGATGCTAACACAAATCTTATTGGATCACCCAATCTGTCCCCATTCAATAAAGTCATTGCAAATCTGCATACTGTACTATATTTTTAAGTCTCATTGAATATGTAAATATACAAAACTGCAGGTAGATATGGAATCTAAAAAATAAATAAATGAGGTTAAACAATCATTATGAATATTTTCTAACTTACCAATATTATGTTCTGCAGAAATATTTGATAAAATGGAAAATAATACTGCATGAGAAAAAACAACAAAATCACAGATAAACACTACTATTTCTAACACAAGTTCAATTCATTCAAATTTGCATTGGATTTTGTATTATGATTATTTAACATATTTTTTTTAACTTACCTATATTATTGTCTGCAGACATTTTTTATCAAATGGAAAATAATACTGCATGAGGAAACAAAGAAATCACAGAAAAACACTACTATTTTATTTTCAAAAGTTCAAATCATTCAATTTGGCTGGAATTTTGCCAAAACATGGGGAATTTCTATGCAAGGATTATACACTACATTCTATGGACCAATAGAAAAGATGACATATCAATGCCCTGAATGTGGTTGAATGCAGTCAATATGTAACCTGGCTTAGGCAATTACACCCTCTAGCAGCTGTCCTGGAAACTTGAAAATAATTACCAGAGATTTCTCTTAAGACACTTTCATCATAAATATATTTTTCCAAAACCAGTGCTGCAAATTGTTTACCAGATACAGCCAGCATCCTTTCTTAGGTGTACACCTGGTAGGGTTTTTATATGAATTTGCTCCACACTCACAATGATTTTCATTTTGGTTGGTCTCTTTTGATTGCTGAAATTAAGTTTGATACTTACTTGGCTACTTGTGTTTCTCCATTCAGTGCTAACTGTGGCCTATACCTTGGATAGAGAGGACTAGCTTCATCTACTTGAATACGAAATATATTTCCATTGAGAGCAGTCAGAGACCATTTCAACTGAATTCCAGCCTCTGTGTTCAGTAATACCGATTCAATAGAATGATCAGATACTTGTAGGGAGGACAAATCCAACTCATATTTGCTCTCGCCAGGTTTAGCAGCTCGCAAACGTCTGAAAAAGAATAGTTTAATAAATCAACTAGGAACATTTCCCATGACAGGACCCTAGTTCCTACCTGCAAAAACTACTTTGATCACAAGTCTTGAAATTATTTTTGTCAACAGCTTGAATGCAGAAGGAACAGATGATGGAGAATAAGAAACACCTAAAATATAACAAGATGATTTTAAAAGATATTCAAAGGAACTAATAACATAAATACCTCAAAAGCAGTGCCATGTTGGCACGGAAAATCTTCAAAAACACCTTGACACCGGACTGCGATCCCGATTCTGCGATAAACCATCAACACGTAACCTTAACCTTAAAAAAAACCGGCCATCCGGCGATCCGGCCAAGCCAAAGACTTGAGGCTTCTTGACAGGCTTCTAGAGACAGGACGAAAGAACTAATCATCGCGGTGAGGGAACGTTGCGTTGCAGCGCAACAAGTGCGGGTACAGCGATACATTTTCAACTTAATAAACATCTCAGATACATTATTTCTTCATTCTTGAGTTTGTGTTTGAATCTCACGCCAGCGACCTGGGTTCATTGCCTGCGATGGTTGGTTGTTTTTTATCCTGTTTTCTCAAGTGATTTTCCGAAAAATATAATTTTTAGGCCGAGTGACGTTAGAATATTTGAAAAAAGTAGTGTCCTTGTTTATGCAGTAGGGATATTCTCTTTCCTCCCTCTGAAAGTACTGAGGAGGCATTTACTGTTGAGGCTGATAGTGATTCGCTTTGAATGATGATTTATGGTTTTCAGGATCAGCCGGAAATTTTTTTTGAACTTGATTCTGCGCCGATTGAGGGTATTGGTTATTCACCTACAAGGCTATTTAAAACTTTGATTCACCTGATTCACCTACACCCGTGATAGTCACGTGATAGGTAATTATTATTGTTTCGCTGCAACTGAGATGTTTATAAGTTTATCTCTAGGCATCTTAGCTGAAACCAGCGCATACATTAAATAATATCAACGTAGGTACGCTAACCAAACTATACTCGAAATATGCCGATGAGTCAAAATTATTAAATTCGGGATCCCCAAGGAGTTGTGCATCGAGAAGTCCTCTTATAACAGTAATAAATGTTCAAATCTGAACGAACAATAAAAAATGACCGATACAAACCGAAAACAATAGTTATTTATTATACAAGGGAAAAAAGTTGTAGATTTTAGCTCCAGGTTGTGTTGTCTCCTGACGCGTAGCGGGGGAAGACAAAAAACCGTGAGCTAAAATCTAATATTTTTCCCGTGTATAATACACTATTTTTTTCTGTAACAGAAGAAAGGATGAATCAATATTGAGAAGATATTACATTATTTTGAAATCTGAAAATTATCGACGTGAAATTTTAAGTTTTTAACAGTAGGGACACCTGCGTTCTATAGGCATCTTCATCATTCTTTTGAAGTAATCAAATATTTGATGTCACTTCTGTCAGTCTAATTCAGTGATTTGATTTCAAAAAATTGCTAATTTAGTTCTTGTTTAGTAATATACGTAACCGCGAAGTCGAATCGAAGATAAGGACTTGCAGTTCTTTCTCGGAGACGGTATTATTGACTCATTTTTCGGAACTATAGCACAACAAAAGCCATCAACAGTGTATATATATGTGATATATATCCGGGAAAAAAGTACTCACTTTTTCCCACGGGAAAAAAGTAATTTATGAAAAGTGACATTTTATAACCTGCCAACAGAGATGAAAAGCCAAACTTTTTTCCCGTCACAGAAAAAAATGTATTATTACGTTATGATGACGACCAAAGTGGCGACTTCATCTCAAGATCCCCGTCTCCACTCACTCTAAAGTGTTTGTGGAACAGCAATATAGTTCCGTCCTTATTCAATTCTAACACTAGATTTTTGACATTTGTTGTTTTTTAGGTTACATTGAGGTCATTGGCGTATCATACGTAATGTCCATATGGAATTTCTGATTCAACTATACCAAGATATAGTAGTTGAACAATCCTCTAGTTTTAGAGTTTACTACTCCGGCATAATCTTTGTAAGGTAGGAAACATATAATATTTTGTACTAAATGCTTAATGTATTTCACCGAAAGAGACGGTTCTTAGACTGTATACCAGGGTTGACTGAATTGACTGAATGAATTCTGATTTCAAGCTGAGCAGTAGTTTAACTATGAGTTGAATGAGCTGAGCCTTATGATTGAGAAATGGTGAAAACCTCGATGTGGGTATCTGAACTACTGTACTCGTGTCATGTGTGCTAAATATATTTTCGGAAATGTAACTCGGAGAAAAATTTATGGAGGACGAAAAGTAGGCTTATATAATACGTGAAATTGCAGGAAAATTAAGAATAGAATATACCTTACCCCCATGTTATACATATGATTTTTCCGTCTCTCTTAAATTTCCTAATAATTTATTGATGAAAGTAACAAAGAAGTATGTATAAAGTATAACTTATGGGCACTTTATTTTCACTCTTGCATCCTACATATTTTCAATTTGTGGCAGAGTAATAATTATATAAACTAACTAGCTGACTCGGCAAACGTTGTTTTGCCATAACATTATTTCTAGCAAAAATGTTTTTACATAAATATTTATCAAAGAACTTTCATTATTTTATTTTAACGTCTTTTTAGTTCGGCTATCCTCCAGGGGTCAATCCTATAGGTCCCTTATTTTTCATTATATTTACATCTGATATGAAAAGGTGTTGTCACCTTTCAGAACAAATGGTAGTGTATGCTGACGATACCAATACCTTGATGTCCAATGAGGATACTGAACAGCTAGTTACAAATAGTAACGCAGCTTCTGAAGAATTCAATAAGTATTGTTCTCAAAATGGACTTCAACCTAATGTTACAAAAACATTCTTCATGCGATTCATACCACGAAATTTATCACCAGATTGTGACCTCTATTTACATATTCAAGGCAAATCAATTCAAACCACAGACACTATAAAGTTTTTGGGAATCACACTTGATCCAAAATTGACATGGGAGCCACATATAAGCAGAGTTTTTTCTAAACTAAGTACATGCTGCTATATAATTAGAAATTTAAGAGAAACAGTATCGTTTGACGTACTAAGACTGTTTTATTTGGCCTAGTACAATCAACTTTACAATATTGACTGATATTTTGGGGATCATCAGCACACTTTGAAAAAGCTTTCATCGCTCAGAAAAAAATCATAAGAACCATGGTCAATGTTCATCCATCGACTACCTGTAATAATCTCTTCACTAGAGCACAAATAATGACTTTACTAGCCTATTTATCTATTGCTTGGTTATCTACATTCGAGCTAATGAGCATAAGTTTGAGAAGAATGAGGATATACACTCGCATAATACAAGATCAAAATGTGATAATCATCAAAGTTACTCACGCTTACAAATATGTCAAAATTCACCTAATTACATGGGAATCAAAATATATAATAAGTTTAAACCGAGGTTTAAACTTATATACAAAAATTATGAAAACTGTGAAATATCATTTGAGACTATACTCGAAAGTTTTCTACTTGAAAATGCATTCTATTCCATAGAGCATTTTCTTCAGTTTTGAAATGGTTTTACTTACTTTTTAATATTTTAATTTTTTAATTTTGTTGTGAACGTATCTATAATGATTACTTTGAAATGATTTTAACTTATATTTTAATCAGTTTGTGAATGTATTCATATTGATTATTTGTAATCATTATGTTTGATTTTACAACTACTATCTACTTGTATCTTGACTAGGCTGATAAGTGTTACGCATTTTACTTATGTACAACCTTTTATGCTGCAATAAATCATATCATATAGTATCCATGAAAACGGGATTCTTTAGTTTTTCAAACTATTCTACTTATTATCTACTTCTTTTTAGTTCGGCACTCTATATCTCTTCATTTTTTCATTTATTTACTACTCGCTTCTTTTTAGTTTGGCTATCTATAAAAACGTCTTTCATTATTTTTTCAAACTACTATTTATTGCAATAGCTGATGCTGATACCTAAGCAACCATGCGTCTACCTCCTTTGCAGAGAGGGTTTATAAACGCCGAGTTGATACTCTCCCCTCGTAAGGGTACCTGTCGTGTTTCCATAGAGACATAAAGCTGAATATCTGTCAATCTGTCTGCTTGAGAATCTGGAAAGGTAATCAATATATCGCCTTCCGTACGAATACAATGATCTGAATTCTGTAAGTATATAGTCAGTTCTCTTTGCGGATCTTCTGTTCGGTCCGTATTTACTGGATGGTTTTCTCCGATTGAGTGGCAAGTATCAAATGCTGCTTCTTGGATCTGCAACTAAACATCACAATCGAAGAACATTCGAATCAGAAAATATCATTAAAGGAAATACATATATTATGTTGAATCTGAGACAAACCTGAATAATATTTTCAACGTCTGTATATATCCGCTTTCTTTCTGTATAGTGGTTTTTATAGTATGCATCTTCCACATGTTCAATTACGTGGATTATATTAAGGTCCTTGAAGGTCAAACAATGTGCTGCTCAGATCTAAAAGTAAGTATCAATTTCAAATTCGAATTGTGAGACCTACATAGAATATTAATCTATAATAAGTCTGGATATTGTTTTCAACATTCATAACTGGACCGCGATATATTTTTGTAATTCATCAATTCATCAAATATCCCAATGAAGACGAGGCAGGCAGATAAACAACAATTTTCTCTGCAATGAAGAACACTGTATATACCTAACCCACCATGCGTCTACCTCCTTTGCAGAGAGGGTTTATAAACGCCGAGTTGATACTCTCCCCTCGTAAGGGTACCTGTCGTGTTTCCATAGAGACATAAAGGTGAATATCTGTCTATCTGTCTGCTTGAGAATCTGGAAAGGATATCAATATATCGCCTTCCGTACGAATATAAGGATCTGAATTCTGTGAAGTATACTCTGGTCAGTTCTCTTTGCGGATCTTCTGTTCGGTTCGTCTTGACTGGGTGGTTTTCTCCGATTGAGTGGCAAGTATCAAATACTGCTTTTCGGATCTGCAACTAACATCACATATTAATCGAAGTACATTTAACTGAGACCTACCTCAATGATATTTTCATCGTCCGTAACTGGATTGCTACATATCCGCTTCTGTCCGAATAGTGGTTTTGCCAGTAGGCATCTTCCACATTTTCAATTACGTGGGTTAAATTAAGGACCTTGCTTGCCAAAAAATGTGCTGCTCGGATCTAAAACTAAGGATCAATTTCAATTTGGAATCGTGAGA